TATATTTCTATACTTATACTTTTTCTCTATATTAATTTTTTTTTTATATTAGTTTATACCGTAGATGTAATATTATTTATCATTTGTAAAAGTTCGGTAAGCAATAAGGAAAATTGGTAAATCTTCCTTAAAAAGTTCTATTAGTATTTACAATATAATAGTTCTCTAAAAATATTACGGAAAAAATTAAAATATTTATATTAAGATAATAGCAGTAAACGAATCTGCTTAGATCATTTATATATGGAAAGTTTATGAGACCCTAGTAATAAAGAAATGTATATTTCAATTTCGTAGGTTCGAAGTACAAAGAATATTTATTGTACGATTATAATTTTCCAAATTTTATTAAATTGACGTAAGAAGATAGAATTTTTAGATTACTAATGAATAAGAAAACATTGATTATTGTTAGCATATGCTGATGTTTAAAACTACAATAAACTGTAAACTGTTTATAATGTTAAAATAAACTGATACTTTAATCTATGACACATTAGAAATATTAAATATCGTTAGTCTGCTTCTCCATCCATTTATCAATGAACTTTGAACACTGAAATCATMACTGTCAATAATACGATCAGGATATAAGCCACAACTTTCGTATTTTAATTCTAGTCAAGTTTATAAACTTGTGGAAATAACTGTCCATCTTCAATAAGACACTGTGATTCTTAACTCATGAGCATTAACTAATAATTCTAAGTTAAAAACATTGAAATAATATTTCATAAATTAAAAAGGTTTTTAAAATTCATTACGAAAATTACAAAGTGTATATAAGTGACGTTTAAACAAAAGGAAACAAGAAAAAAGTTTCCCTAAGTTGTCAAATTACTTTCTATAAAAATCAAAAGCCTTAATTTGTCAATTATATAATGGCAGCTATGAGTACAGCAATGAATTTAGGAATCTCTTTCCTTAAGTGTTATGACCCGGAAACTATGGACTTTCTCAAATGGTTAAATCATTTTGAATATATATTTGATTTCCTGCATATACAAAATAATCTGAAGGTTGAATTTTTATTCAAATTTTTGAACTCAAAGGCTCTTTCGTATATTCAGCAAACAGTAGCACCAGCTAACCCACTTGGTCTTCCATACGAAGAGGTTATAAACTATTTGGAAATGTTGTACGCATATTATCAAAGAGATTGGGCAGCAAACTATCGTTTTGTGTATCGAGAACAGTTTATCGGTGAAAGTGTTGTAAACTACATGCGTACTTTAAAGAGAATTTTAAATAACGCCAGTCCTTGTCTTATAAGTGATGAAATTCTAATGATGCGATTTATAGAAGGATTAAAAGACGATAAGACAAGAGAAATATTGCTTAGTTGGAAAAATTTAACGCTTGAAAAAGCAATAAATATCGCTGAGCTAATAGAATTGGATCCACCTCCGAGTAAAACAAATTAAGTACTCAAGAAAGAGAACTCAATTGGACAATGTATTAGCAGAAAGATGAACATAATACAATACAAAACAATATATACCTCTACATTTATACATTTACCGGTAATTTTAACCTAAAAATATTAGGAAGTTTCTCTTTTAATCGAATGACACTTTATAACAATACAAAATTATCTACGAGTACGAAAAATATTTAATTAAAATATAAATTTTTTCATAAATTTTGATAAAACATATTGACTTTATTTATATTGTTACCTATGCAAAGGTAAAAAGAAAAAATGTCTAATAGAACTGTGTGTTTTTAGTGGTAAACAATAACCTTATTTACCACCGCATGGTCAAAAATTTTATTCTTGATATCATGTCTACTTTATATTTATATTTGTATACTTTTACTGTTATTCTGTATTTATTTATACAAAAGATGTAATTTTTTTATCATTTGTAAAAGTTCGATAAGCAATAAGGAAAATTGTTAATTTTTCCTTAAAAAGTTTTATTATTATTTATAATATAATAGTCCTCTAAAAATATTACCGAATAGAATTAAAATTTGTATGTAAAGACAGTAATAATAAACGACACTGCTAAGATTTTTTATATATGGAAAGTTTTTGTGACCCTAGTAATAAACAAATGCGTATCAAAATATCAAATGTTCAAAGTGAAAAAAATGAGTTATATACACGATTACAATTTTTAAAATATTAATAAGTTTACAATAACATTATCATCTTTAGAAAGACAATAAGCAAGAATAAATAGATACCTTATGGCGTCTGTAAACGTTTAAATTCACAATACATTGTAAACTATTTATTATGATGAAATAAAATTGATACTTCAATCAAGGACACATTTGATGTACAAAATATCGTTCTAATACCTCTCCTTTCGTTTAGCAGTTAAGTTTAAATACAGAATTGATCACTGCCTATCAGACGTTTGGGATATAAGCTAAAACTTCCGTATTTTTACTTTTGTTAAMAATATGCAATCGTAGACAAAACTCTTCACCTACATATCGACACTCCAATTTATCTCTTATGCATTAGAAAAATCATTCTAATTAAAAAACATTAAATTTATTAAATAAAAGAAATAAGTTTTTAAAGTTTATTAATAAAAGTATTTAACGTTTGTAAGTGAAGGTGAAKCAAAGGAAACGAAAAAAGGAGTGTTAACAATTCATTAAATTACGTGTTAAAAATATTTGAAAGCTTCTATTTGTCAATTAAATAATGTGTGAATTAAGTGTAATAAGGAAGTGTAAAGTTGAAGGAACCATTTTACTCGAATGTTTCGAGCCGGAATCTGCAGACGTTCTTAAATGGCTAAATAGTTTTGAATATGTAATCAATGTTTTTCGTATAGAAAATGATGAGAAGGCTACATACCTATTACATTATTTGGACCCTATGGCTCTTAAAGTTCTTAAAATTAAAGTATATCCCGTCAATTTGCGTAAACTTTCATACGATGAGCTTGTATCCAACTTAGAGATTTGTTTCTCAAGTTTTACAGGAGTCTCTGCATGGGACTATCGCTTTTTACATCGAGATCAATTTTTCGGTGAAAAAATACCAGAATACGTACTTGCTTTAAGAAAAATAGCTAGTAAAGGCAGTCATTTCCTTCGAGATAATGCAAACTTAACAACACGTTTCGTAAAAGGATTAACAGACGAAAACATGAGATTTTTGTTGTTGGAAAAAAAAGATTTAACATTTGCCGAAGCAGTAAGTACGGCTCAGCAAATGGATCTTTATAAAATGTTGACTGAATGAATTAAGTATTCTTGAAATTCTATTCAATTGGTCAACGTGTTGTCAGGAAAATAAACAAAATACAAGACAAAGGAATGTATCTCGCTATTGTTATATAGTTATCGTTAATTTTACCATTGTTAAATTCATAAAGTTTCTTGTTTTTTTGTTTTTTTATTTTTTTAATTGAATGACACGTTATAACATTAGGAAATAATTTATTAATAAGAAAAGTTTTTAATTAAAATATGTGAATTGTTACGTAAATTATGATAAAACATATGGACTTTATATTTATATTGTTACCTGTGTAAAGGTAACACAAAAAAGCATCGAATGATATTGTGTTTTTGTCGATAAGCAATTACATTATTTATTATCGCATGGTCAAAAATTTTAATTCTTGATTTAATGTCTAAATTATATTTATAGTTATATATTTACTTTTACATGTATTCTATATTTATTTATACTTTTATATTAATTTATATAGAAGATGTAATAGTATTTATCATTTTGTAAAAGTTCATTAAGCAGGAAGGAAAATTGGTAATTTTTCCCTCCTTCAAAAGTTTTATTATTATTTATAATATAATAATTATCTACAAATATATTATCGAATGTAATTAAAATATTTTATGTAAAGATGATAGCAGTAAACGAAACTGCTTAGATTATTTATATATTGATAGTATATGCGACCCTACTAATAAATAAATGCGTATCAAAATATCAAATGTTCGAAGTTCAAAAACAATATATTGCACAATAATAATTTTATAAATATTTAGTTTACAAAATTATGGAATTTTTAGATGGCCCATAGATAAGAAAACATCAATATCTGTTGGCATATGTCGATGTTTAAATCAACAATACATTGTAAACTGTTTATAATTTTGAAATAAAACTGATACTTTAATCAAGGACACATTTTAGGTGTTAAATATCGTCCCCTTTGCCTCTCCTTTCATTTAAATTTAAATATAGAATCGATCATTTTCTATCAAACTGTTAAGATATATGTTAGAACGTTTATATCTTTATTATAGTTGACATTATGAAGTTGTGATAAAATTTTTTTTTTTTTCATGCATAAAAGAAATAATTATTAGTAAAAAAACGTTGAAATCATTAGAAACGAAATAAGTTTTCTAAGTTCATTACGAACTAATATAAAGTGTTCAATAGTGAAAGTGAAACAAAGGATCCTATAAAGTACTGTTAACAAGTTGTCAAATAAGGTGATATAAAAATCGAAGGCCTTTACTTCGCAATAAAATGTCTACTGGAATAAAGAAATATGTGTTACGTACAAACATGGGACTATATATACTTGAAAAATTTAATCCACAGAAATTTGAAATTCTTCAATGGTTAAATTCATTTGAATATGTAGTCGATGTTTCGAAAATAGATGGCGAAACCAAGGTCCATTTTTTATTATATATGTTAGAAAATTCGATTTTAATGAGTATCAAAGAACAATTAGCACCTTCCAACCCTTTCGATCTTTCATACGATGTACTTGTATCACATTTACAAAATTTGTACGCATTTTTGCACGGCGAGCATGCAGCTAACTATCGTTTTTTTCTTCGGGACCAATTACCGCAAGAACCTGTACAAGATTACGTTCTTGCTTTAAGAAAATTATCTAGTAAATGCAGTTCTGTATTTAAAACAAATGATAACCTAAAGACTCGATTCATTGATGGATTATTCGACAAAGAAACTAAAACTTTATTAGAAAATGATGAAAGCATGTCATTCGCTATAGCAGTAGCTATAGCAAAGCAAAGGGAACTTGCTAAGAATAAACAAAACGGAGTATCATATTCCAAGTGAAACAATTTAATGCTACTTTATTTCACGGTAACATAAAGAAATATATGATAAAGAAGTATAATTGACATTACGGAATCTTTGAAGAACACCCAAGTTTTTATTTGTAGTGTAAATTATGATATATGCTTTGATGAAACAAATTAATTCATTTTATATTGGTAACTTTGTTAGGGTAATATGAACAAGTTTACAATAAGAATGTGTTTTTATTTTAATACAATTATTCTGCATGTTATTACTATGATTAAAACTTTTAATTTTTTATCTTATTTTTTTGTAACACTACATTGACGTTGAAAACATTTAATTGTTTATTTATTTTAAGTGTTTTTTAAACGAAAACGGAAAGTATTATTCGTTTGCTTAAAATTTATTATTATTTATAGTAATTTTCCGTGAAGACATAAATATACTGTTAACAATATATAAAGTATATATTCGTTGAAAATGATTTAGGATATATACATATGATATTATATTATATTATGTATAATTATTATTATTATTATATATATAGTTAACAGTATATCACATTTATGAATTTAATAAATATGACCTATATCATCATCGTTATATTCTTAAATTCATAATTAATATGTATTTTTTTTTTTATTTTTAAAAATATGCTTACTTCTACTTAAGTTATTAAAAAACTCAGAATGTATTAAGTATTTATCAAAGGATTGATTGACGTAACAAGAAATAATGATTAGATGTTTTATATGTCTGAAATTGGAATTTGAACATGAGAAATGTACAATAAGATACGAAGGAATTAAGATAATGTGAACACGTAGCATATTTACAATTTTTTAAAATATACTTTTAAATTTACACAAGAATAGTATTTTCTTAAGGATGATAAACAACAGTTAATCAGTAATTGTTGCTATTTATCAATTTTTAAATTCATAATTTTCTATAAAATGCATATAATATATGCTCAATCATATTAATACTTTAATAAAAGACATATTTCAAAGGCTTAATATATGCCTATTTACATCTCTTGTTATTAAACAGTTAAATTTAAAAACATAATCTATTAACACCTACCTGAAACTCTCTCTCTTAAGATATATGTTTTATAATTTATAAAATGTTTCATAAATTATGATAATGCACGTTAACAACTTTCATATTGATACTTTAACAGAGTTAAAAAGAAGAAGTTTGTAATAAAGCTTTGTTCTAAATTCTAAACAATAATTTTGGATTCTTTTGCAATAGTTAATAATTATAATTCTCAATCCTCTTTCTATATAGCATTTATTTTAATTGATACCAAAAAGAAGTAATAATTTTTATCTATTCTAAATATTTGATAGACAAAAACGAAAATTGTTAATTGTTCCTTAACCTTTAAGCGCTGAATACTTTGAACTAAAGTGGTTTGTAGATATGGAATAGTTTATTATTAATGCAACTGTATCCATTAAAATTGATAT